CGGAGTCCGACCCTTAAGTGTTGATACAGGCCACTTCGAGAATCTCTGCGTTCTGTTATTGCTGTGGTAAAGGGATTTATTAATAGTAATAGGTGGGGCTAGGCAATTAGTAAATTTAAAATAATCTGAAATATTTCATTAATCGAAAAACTCCATTAATCAGAATAAACGATTAATAGCCGATGATTTTTATTGATCGAAATAATCGACCGTAAACTTTGTGTTTGGAAGCAAACAAAACTATTTTAGAATTACAGGAACATTCATATTTTTATCCTTTATTTAGATAATGCATAACATTTTCATAAAAAGTTTATGGTCAATCTCATTCAGAAAACTTCTATCTTCAAGTGATTATTTTCTTATAATAATTATTTAGTTAGGTATATGATTATTTCAATTAGTAATTAACCCAAATAAACGTTTATTTCGATTAGATAATTCATTATTCTGATTAATATAAGTTTTAGATTAATAAATTATATTAAAAGACAAAAATTATCGAAATTTAATTGCCTGTGGTTATAATATTAAGGCATTCCACCTTTTTTTTGAGGTACTTATTTAGGAAGCCTTAAAACTTAAGCGAATATTTTGCAACAGAATACTTGAATTTTCTTTTTGTAATTATCGCCCATCAGGTTCCGAAAGGAAGAGAAATTATCATCGATGAAGCAGATAGGGCAGACACTTATATGAAACGAAGCCTCAAAATACTACACAGCCTTAATGAATAAAATCAATTTATTCGAGGGCTGAATCTCTCCGTCAACGGACCTTTGTAATACGTACACGTATGTTCAACGTACGCGCGCGTATATAAGAGTTTTAAGTGTCATTCTTGCGGTAAATTTATCCCCGACAGACGGCCCTTTAATTTCGAGCGCACTGCAGAAGCCGCCGAAGGCAGACCGCGCTTTAAGAGAAACTCATAATACAAAGACAGGGATACGCTCACGCCAGGAGACACACAGGCATGGAATCGATTTGTTTTACGTTTGTTACGGGGGTGTAGTAGATAAAATACGCGAGGGTGACTTTCCCATTACACATTTTTTTACGCGATTGAAACCATCAAAGGAATTCGGCCGCAAGAAAAGGGACGGATATCCAATCTGGCCACTTTTTATTAGTATTTGTTGACCCCTCTTTTAGTGAGCGATAAGGGAAATTAAGGTGTCTCATTTTACAAGGATTAAAAGTAAACACAGAATATATCAATTTGTGCTACCTACATACATTAATCAGATATTTTGATTTCTACTTTTCCAGAATATTTTATACAACTTGAACGAATACTTACTAAATACGTATAGTATTGGTGAAGGAATTGGGTATGATATGTGGCATCTACATATAAGTAATAACTAATATAGAATGTTGAAACAGAGCCACGAGAAGAGATAAATACTTTATTTATAGTTGAAAACTAAATACAATTGTTGCTCTTAGCTTTTGATGAATAGGTTTAATCTCCTTAAAAACACTAAGAACAATAGGCGAAACGTTGGATTTGGGTTTCCACTATAAATAAATTGTTTATCCCTTATCGTAGCTCAACATTCTGGAAAAATTTGTGGGAAGAAATGAATACCAAGATAACTGACATAATTTCAGTTCAATCTCAGTGATCAAGTTAACTCTCTAATCAAGGAGAAATAACATTTTTTAATTTTCAACTTCCAATTTGTTAATAAATTATAAATTTTAATTTTGTCAAAAATTGCTTGAGAAGTTTTTGTATTACCATTTGCAATATTTGTGTAATGCCTATCATAATTTTATGGTAATTTACTATACCTAGTTGATAGAAACACAGAGCGTTTAAAAGCTGATAATGATATAAAAGAGCTGGTTAAATACAAGTACCTACAGTTTTAGTATAAAGAAAGCTCATAATAAGTAGTCATATTTCCATTAGCAAAGCGTGAGAATGAATATCTATCTACTTTGTCAGATATTTTGGTTTATGTCTCTCTCATGAACAGAAAAAAGCTTAGGTACACTAATGGGACCAAGTCTATTGAAAAAATAATGAAATTTTCTACAAAAATCTTCTCATACGTTTTTCCGCTTTTTCCCTTGGACTAGAGCTCTCATATTAAGCTTGTTTGAAGTAAATATGTAGGTTTATAGCAAAGTGTATTTTCTTCGCATTTTCGATGACCCGGGGATTGCTTCAATATAACATCGTCAAGCTGTGCATCGACCAGCTATATAGCGACTTATATGTCGTGTTGAAATTGCTGAGTCAAACTCCAAGTGCCGGAGAAAAGAAACGGGTAATATCGTAAAAACATTAATCTAACTGGCATCAAACATTTCGATGGCTTGACAGCTCGTACCGGTCGCGGTCGGTCCGTTGCCGTTCCTCGCCGGTGCCGTCCAAGAACCAGGCAGCGAACGCCGAGGGCAGCGCTTCTCGCATTGCATCGCTCTCTTCAAAAACGCGCACCGTCGACACTCGCGCTCTGCTGACTCACACTCTAATGACGGAGCTTCAGCACCGACAAAGAACTGACGATCACACTTAAAAACGTCATCTGCGACATTCCTACGGTCGATTTCTTCTTTTTTTTTTCCTATCCGAAAGGAACTACTCCGTGTATTTGGTGTAGGATACGAAGGAAGGTGTCGGATGATGGTTTCAATGTTTAGCTGATATCGAATTATTCCTATGCGAAAAAGTAACAATAGTTTAACTAGTTGAATCCGTTCAAATTTATATTGATGGTAAACGTTGTCAGTGGTGCATAGCACTTACATTTCAATGATGGCAATCCCCTACACCATGACCAAACCCAAGCACTTGGTGCGTTTGCTTTCCAACTATAACTTAACCTAAACGCTTCGTATGTAACGCTTTACATATGTCAGTCAAGAAATCCTCTCTCTGCATAATTTAACCTAAACCTTTGGCGCATGGCGCTTTAGCTTTGCCGATCAAGAACTCTTCTCATCATAATCTAATCGAAACGCTTCGTGTATAGCGCATTACATATCCCAATCAGGAAATCCTTTTTTTTTATAATTTAACCTAAACCCCTGGCGCACAGCGCTTTACCTATGTCGATCAAGAAATCTCTTACGCTTGCATAGCGCATTACAAATCTCAATCAGGAAATCCTTTCTTTTTCATAATTTAACCTAAACCCTCGGCGCATAGCGCTTTACTTATGCAAATCAGGAAATCCACTCCCATCATAATTTAACCTAAACCCTTGACGCATAGCGCTTTATCTATTCCAATCAGGGAATCCTTTATCATTATAATTTAACCTAAATCCTTAGTGTATGACGCATTACATATGCCAATCTAGAAATACTCTCTCATCATAATTTAACCTAAACCCTTGACGCATAGCGCTTTACCTATTCCAATCAGGGAATCCTTTCTCATCATAATTTAACCTAAATCCTTAGTGTATAACGCATTAGATATGCCAATCTGGAAATACTCTCTCATCATAATTTAACCTAAACCCTTGNCTAATTACAAATTTGTTTTAATTGTTTTCTCTTATTAAAAATAATTGAAAATTCCTTCATTTTACTACCCCAGACAAACAAGGGAATATTGAATAATTAAATACAAGAATATTTGTGAAAAACCGAAAATTATTTAAATCTTGAGCTAGCGCCTATGTTATCCTTTTCTCTCCGAATGCTGACTCCCTTCAGTGCGTACAACGCTCGAGCCTCGAACGTACCACGTATTGCAACATAACGTTGTATGCTTGTTTTAATACTGCAATTAATAGTTTGTTTTTGAAATTAAGAAACACATACCTTTTGGACAAATTAGCTTCATATTCTTTTTGTCTATTATACATAGCTACAGTTACAGTAATTGTATTTTTTTAATGTCTATTTCCTTCTTGAAACCATCAACATTTTTATATAACAACACCTTGTTAAAATGTAATAAGGTTATTTCAGTTTTTGGTCATATATTCCCGATTGGAAATTTGTTGTCCTGTTAGCATCCGGATCGGATCCGGATTTACTAGGGCATCTCCTATTACCTCATATTATATATAGCCCTAATCATCATTTTACGACATGCCCTATTGAGTCTGATCTGGTCCTGATGTTGATACCCTATTTCAGCCCGTTTGGGGATTTTTTGGAAAATATTTATTTATTATTTCATCATCATCATGAGGTTGTCAGTCCTAAGACTGGTTGGACACGCACCTCCACTCTTTCCTGTCCTGAGCTAAACTTCTCATTTTCCTAAAACTAGAACAACCCACATCCTTAACTATTTGCGAACAGTACCTAATCTAATCTAGGTCTACCTCTTCCCCTACCCCTACCCTTATTATTTCATACTGGGAAATTTTGACTGTGTAGATTTCACGGTACACTGATCGCACCCTTGTTTGCTGCTGTACTGATAGTAAAACTCTTCGATTTGTATGTATCTATGTGAGTCTGTAAGAAATGCATTTTCAATTTACGCTAAAAATTAACACTACTTACTGTCTCAAAGGCTAAATTAAATGTTTTTGTGTACATCTCTTCATTGCAATACCGACCAATTTGAATAAAAAATCTTACATAATTGTAAAAATAAAGGCGCAAATTTAAGCTTGGCAGAAATTCACGCTGAAAATTTCTTTCCATTTCAATCATGAAATTATGTACACACATTGTCAAGGGTTCAGATTTGATTAATTTAATTCATAAAAGTTACCGTTAATACCCTGATCTTTTTGTGCTGTAAATTACAACATTTATTGTACATACTATACTTCAGACTAAATTTTCATAATAGAAATTTATATGTATACATAACTAATCTTCAAAATGAGCTTTTGTCTCAAGATTCTAATTAAGACAAATTTGCTATTTCTAATCAAGAAATTAAATATATTCTAAGAAATAAGAAAATCGAATTTATTTTTCTGAATCCTCATACATGGTCCCGTTTCATACATATTTTTATTTCTTGATAACTTTTATTTATCAAACAAACGTCTTTTTGCCCTTTCAAGGCGATGTGTCTAGATACAACGAGAATGAGAAAGAAATGCAAATTGAAATAATTCCTGTAAAAAAAGAAAACTACTTCGGTGTCCATGTCCGATCTAACACGAGCAATAGAAATTAATATTACAATTGACTGTTATTATTAATTCGGCGCCATGTTAACGGGTAGTATCGAGTGCTATTAATTGATTGAATTATGGCGTTAGTTTTCGTAGATTAGTAAAGAAAACTTATCCTGTATAGTGTTGTGTAATCATAAACGTGAATTTAAACAGTGATTGGAAGGGAAGTTGTACTTAGGATTAGGATTACGAAAAGGGTGAGTCATTGAAATAAGAATTATCATCCGTTTTGATCATTACCTTTCATAATCGTCATCGTTAAATTAAGTGTTTGTTATATTTTAAATAACAAAAGTGTTTCTTAGATACTACATTAGGAATGCCTCAATTTGATAACAAAAATTCAATCCAAACGCGCATGTACTGGTTGTTGTATGATTGCAATTGTAAACACTGAATTACACAACAGTTTTAATTAAGTATTTCTTTTATTAGAGAAAAATATATTTTTATAAATGATCATTACGAACTTTTGTAAATTGCGTAAAAGAATTTTGGTTTTATTAATTAATTTCTATAAAATAATATGTACATTTAGTATATACGTAAATTGTCAAATTCGGAACTTTGCACGACTATTTGAACAAGATAATAATTTTTACTTTTTGATACTATAAAACAAAATTGATTTAATCTTGTTTTAGATTAATTTAGTGTTTTCAATTAATTTTTGGGAGGGTGAACTAAAA